AAAATTTTTCGTCGTTTATGAGAGACCAGATCATGGGCTATCTTCCCCTGCATTAATCTGAATATCGGTCATTTTGACAAAAAAGTGACTTTTTGTCAAAGGGTAGCCTTAAACAAATTAATAGTTGCTGTTCGTTTTAGTGTTAATATAATTTAAAAAAAAAGAAAAAAAGATTGTTTAGGTCAAAATAATATTTACTGTTCATTGTACGATCGCACTGATATAATTATTTAAAAAATTCTTTTATACAAAGAAAGTTACTTAGCGTTGAACACGACAAATATACGATCGTATACGAACGTCGTTTACGATGGTCATGTGGAACAGTCGTTTACGACTACCATATAGCACTGTATTACATCCTATACGATTGACGTATACAAACATCGTATACGACCAGCGTAATTCGTCGTATTTTTTTTGTATGCAGTCGTTTACGATCGTACTTTTTCAACCTGGGCATGCATAATTCATACCTTATCCACCCGCAATGATATCGCCTACAGACACATCTGGTAGCCAACGAACGATTCGATTGTTTACTGTATCAGCTACATAAACAATTTTTGTTTGCTGATCAATCCAGGCACCATTCGGTTCATCTAAAGATCCAGGATCATCACCAGAAGTAGATGTATTCGAGCCAACAACTCGAATACCCGATGAAGCATCCTGTTGCCATTTTTGAATTCTGTTATTTCCGGCATCAGCCACATACAAAGTGTCGCTGCTTTGATCGTAATAAATTCCTTCAGGTGTACTGGAATGTTCATTCGTTGTCCCTCTCTCATCCGTTTTACCAGCGACAAGTGTCGTCAAATTCGGTTTAGGTTACCGTTTCACTATACGAAATCTATCCGATTCTGACATGTAGACATTTTTTTTTCTTTATCTATCGCTACGCCAAAACATGATCGACATTCATCACCTAACTGAATACCTTCTGATGCTCCGCTTGTTCATTTCTCGACTCGATTTCCAATGAAAACTGACATGTACATTGTTGGTCCATCTTCATCATCAACATAAGCCCTTGAAGGAGTATTGATATTGGATACAACAGTTGTAGCCAAACTCGATGGTAGATTGAATAAAAACATCTGAGCTCGTTTGTTGCCCATATCAGCCACATACAATGTATTTGTTCTTTTCGTCACAAAAATTCCTCTAGGCATAGCCAGTTCACTCGAATCATCACCAGGGATACCAGTGCCTGCCACTGTTCTACCAAGTGGATTCCATCTTGCACGAGGACTAATCTCAGCCGACGATAGTGATACATGGCAACAATACCAAACAGCGACTTAAACAAGAGAAAATTTCTTTTGTGCTTGTCATTGGTGAACTTACAAGCGTAGATGACAATATATTGCATCTTTAACAATAACTCGCGAACGTAAAAACTGAATGTTTGTACATAGTATTACTCGAGCCTGTGCGTTAGTAGAAGATAACGTGTATAAATATCAATGACACATGTTTCAGCGACAGTTTTTTTCTTTTTTCTAAAACAAAGAAACATTGAGATATTTTCTGTGTGACACTCACTATTAAGCTGTAGGTAACATGCAACAGCAGCACTTGAAATAAATGAATTCGAAGTGACTAGTTTCAATTTTCTCAATATAGAAGACAATAATTTTCAATGGATTCAATTGTGCATTAAATAAACAAATATTACAAAGGTAAATCAACTATTGACTCAATTTCATTTGTTGCCACCCTGCTTTCCAATTACCTTGCCATACAAATACTGTAACAGATCACTATTTGGGGCAGCGTTCCTATAGGTAGACAGTTTCGTATATATTAATTGTATTGTCCTTCATTAAATGCTGCTCTCTCGTAAAAGTGAAAGTTTCGAAAAGTTCGACTCGAGTATAACTCTATGGTAGAGACAAACGAAGACCTCTATAAACCAAAAGAAATGGAAAGTGTACGAACAGAACAAGCGAAAACAGAAACACATACACTGCAAACAGCAAAATGAACTTAAAAAAGAACGCCTAAAAAAGACCTAGAAGAGAAAAAAACAGGCATTCTTAATTAAACTGGGAAATGTACTAGGTAGAGATGCCAACAAATCATTGAAATGGCTCGTATAGCATACGATACCAAACTTGAAGAGAATGTCAGACATAATTACCAAGGACGCTACTAGGATGTGGGTGTGGTGTTGAAGAGAAGAATGATATCTATAATTATAGTCACACCTATCCCCATCTACACCCTCAAAGTGACTATAGTGAATTTTCAATTATCAGGTGTGCATCTGATATTGTCAATGGAAGATCTAAATAATTACGCAAGCCTCAGATTTTTTAGATTCAGTTATTCTGGAATCATACGTATTTTAGTCAAACTTTTCGGTCGATTTTTCAAACAATTACTGTAAAAAAAATCCATATTTTTGCTTTTTTCTTACATTGAAAGGAATCTTTTGTCCCAATTTTTTTTGTATCAATTTGGTTAAACAAATTTCGCAAAACATCATAGGAGAATCTATAAAATATGATTCGATGCGTCTGATATACTCTTTCTAAAGGAGAAAATCGCAGCGCTATATCTTGTTTCTATCAAAAGTTATTCAAAGAAATACTCATCCGAGTTTTGTTTTTGAAATTGGCATTAGTATTCCAATTAGAAACAGTTACATGAATCGATTTCGATATTATTTCAATTAAAATGAAGTGACGAAGAGAGAAAGAGAGGTGATGATTGTTTTGAATATTATATTTTCAACAGGTTCAACAAGATTAAACATGAAAAAACGCAGAGTTCGAATCAACCTATAGGAAAGAAAACACATGGATTAAAAAATGTAAAAAAAACGGATTGCTCTAGGAGGAATTCCTCAGAAAAAGTCAATTTTGGTCAAATATATCGATTTTGTGATTTACAGCTAGTTAGATAAAACAAAGTGTCTACTCTCGAATGCACTATAGCTGATTGATTTTATGATGAGATTTAAGGATATTACATAGGTTTTTCTGTGTAGGTGTGGGTGTGGATGTGGACCTTTTCTTCACTCACATCCCATCCACACCTACATCCGCAAAATAAAACCTTTTCATAGATGATCTTATTTCTTCTGTGACTTCTTTGAGTAGAATCAAAATATGATTTAGTAATCCAATAAATTCTCTGTCGAGAACTAATGATAGGACAAAGTCTTGAAATATTGTCTACTAGCTACATCTAACAAATGAGAATGACAAACGAAAGTACATTGGACCGAATAACTTTTGTTTTCAATGAGAACTTAAAAGAATCTCGTTAGAATGTACCTTTTTGATGATAGCTCTGAACCGAGGATATGCGTCTCGGTGATAGACAAAATGTTACTTTCCACTACTCAACTTGTGTATCAATACAGTTCATCTCAGATTGTATATATAAGAAAAATCTGCTCCTATAGTTTTCAAATAAGAATTGGATTCAATTTCAATAATATGATTATGTACATGTCGAAGTGAAGCACTCAATAAAGCAAAAGATACTAATGGTATAGCAAGAGTTCAGTCGCCAAAATCAATAACATATGTATCTGAAATACGTCATGGCTCTCCTACCAATAATAAACTAAGACAATACGAATATGCAAGTCAAACAGGCGGATTGGTCACTATTCTTCAAGATCCAATGATGAAATATCCAGATGGTGGAATTAAAAAACCTCATTTCAATGCTGGTCCAACCGGTGGAAAATTAGATGAACATCATTATTTTGAGAAGACAAATAAGAAATTAAAAAAAACAATCGATTTGAATAATTCTGCTTATTTTATATTAATTAAGATCATATTTTAATCTAAGATTTCGTTGGTTTTTATCAAATTGATGACCTTAATGATTGAAAGATATCTATGACACAACTTGCAAAAACATATCGATCGGATTTCAACCTATTAATTGCGAGACAGTTTTACACGAACAGAAAGGCGAGATTCATTCGGCTTTTTTTTAAAATTATTTGATGACATTTTCATATAGAGCTCAACATACGATCTCGTATTGTCATGATAAAGTCCGATATTGCTAGTTTCGTTCAACATCAGCTAATTGAGAAAGTTCATCAATAGCACGTTTTCTATTGATATCATCACTTGACGATGGGCTTTCAAATTTTCAGCCGTAGATTTAAGCCCTCTCATATCCGCCAATTTTAACAGATAAATCAGCCAATATAATCAAGTCTATTGTTACTTTGATTTTCTGTTTTAATTATCTGTTTGAGACAAGCCTCGCTTTAACACGACTAACCAGTTCAATGATTGAATCTCTAGCATAATGAAGAACTTCTTCTATGTAGCCAATTGTGTTCAAGATGCAATTTACATAATAACATTGGTCATTTTTAGTTTTAAATAACTCGAGTTCCTCAACAGAAACGGACAATTCAATTTTCTGTGTTTTTGCGAAAGTTTTGAGAACATTTTCAATCACTCATTATAAGTTGCCTCGTTCGTCATCTGCAGACGAAATGGTATTTTTTTCCCTTCATTCACTATTTCAACATTATGCTCATCTTAATCAACTCTTTATAGTGCAAAAGATAATAAATTGAAAGTTTTGAACATTAGCTGCAAGACATACGTCAACATCTCTAGAAATTCTACGCTATCATTCGTATGTATTTACCCAACGTGTTTTTCGATTGAAATAAATTCATTTGGCAGTTGGCAAGATAAAAAAAAATGAACAAGTTAATGTCTGGAAATTCTTTCCTGCTATGCTTAATTTCTATTCAGAGATTATATCAACGATAGTCCTGTATTTTAATGCAATGAATCTTATATTTACACACTGTGATCGTATGACATATTGTAATACGTTGATGACGTAGTTTGCTGTAGGAAGCAAATATATGAATATTTACTGTGCATGCTTTATTTTATCAATAAGTTGAATTCTGACTTTAATAAAAGAGAAATATGAAGTTCTACATTCCGTAAAGATCAAGTTTGGTAACTGTCTAATACTCACGGACGCAATAACCAATGCCTATTCAACATCGAGCAACACAAACGAGTTATTATCGCAAAAATCAGAGTTTAACAGCGAAAAATGTACTTCAATTCATTTCTTCGCTCATTATTCCACTTGTGTTTGGTATTTTTACTATTGTCATTACGTTTCATCAACAAAAAACGGCTCGAGAACAACGACTTGAAGATCTTAACGAATTGAGAGAAGACCGCCGTGAAGAAGCCATCAGAGCGAACAATGCCAATGAATTTCAACGTCAATTAGCAACTGATCGATATCGAGATCAGTTACTTGCATTCTATATTCAAGATATGGCAGCAGTTCTCGATAAAAACAATGGTTCACTCACATTGAACCAAGTTATGGGTACTGTTACCCGAGCAAAAACTTTGGCTGTCTTTCGTCAACTAGATACACAACGTACTATTCAAATTATTCGATTTCTCTACGAATCTGGACAACTTTGGGAAACAGACGACCGTCTTTCAGTGGATCTTTCAACAGCCAAACTTCATGATATCGATTTTCGTGATATAGCAATAAATGGAGAAAATTTGATTCAACTATCATTGACTGGTATCTTTCTATCGAATACTATGTTCATAAATATTACAATGGAACAAGTAGATTTTGCTCGTACTCAATTCGAAACGGTCATTTTTTCAGCGAAGCGGCTGCAAAATATCATTTTTTCATCAGCTCGATTCGATAATGCTAACTTTTCATTCACTACTCTTCGCAATGTTAGTTTTTCATCGACTCGACTGAAAAATGCATTGTTTTCTTGCATTCAAATTGATACTGTTAACTTTTCATTGGGTGAGCTCGATCATGTCAAATTTTTGCCCACTCGACTCGAACGTATCGACTTTACATTCGCAAGACTCAAGAATGTCAATTTTTCATCCAATCAACTGAATAATATTCAGTTTTCATCGGTCGAACTCGATAATATCAACTTTTCATTCGCCCGACTGACGAATATCGACTTTCAATTTGCGAGACTGAAGAATATCGACTTTTCATTTGCTAAACTTGATGTTGTTGACTTTTCAAGGTCTTTGCTCTTCAATTGCAGCTTTTCATCGTCTCAGTTGTCCAACATCAAATTCTTATTTGCTCGACTCGACGGTGTCAAATTTTTGTCTACAACGTTCGATCCTAGTGACATTTCCAATGCTTGGTTTTTCAATGTTGACCTATCATTTGCTCGATTCGACAAGACATCGTTTTCGTCAATAAAGTTCGACAACGCAAATTTTTCATTCGCTCGACTCGATGGGGTCCGGTTTG